CAGGGCTTATAGTTTTAAATCGAGACCTCTAATTTCCAGCTTCAGCCATTTCCAGCTTCAGCCGCGACAATTATTATGTTACGTTATACATTAATAAATCAGAATGTGAAAAATGCTACAGATTAGCGTTAGGAACATCTCGTTTTTATACATTCTGAAATTCTTAAAAGTTCCTGTCGATATTCCTAAAAAGATCATTCCAAAAATCTTGAGAAAAAACGCCGAATTAAAATGTGCATCGGAAAAATATTCTGGGCATGGGAACTAAATTAATTCCTTTTGATCTTTATAAGTAGATCAAATATACGCATCATGAAAATCCATCTGCTCCTGATAATCGGAGTTACATAAATAATAACGATAAATCAAGCTAACATATATATAATGCGATAAATCCAACAATATCCTTTTTTTTCCACATTCTTTTTTTGTTTTTCATTTTTAATAAAGAATGACGAATTCATACGGATCACTCGATGAACCCCAAAGGGTACGAACGAGATCTGGAAGATTCTCGTTTACTACTATCATGATTTTAACTTTAGTTGTAATGATATTTATGTTTATTCTTAGTAATTTTGAAAATATCTGTAAGTACCATTTTCAAATTATAATAATAAATAGTAAAGTTCATTCTTCTAATTTATTATTTTCTTCATTGCAATAAAAGTTGGTAATGGCAATTTTATACTTACTACGGAATCGAATCTGATTATTGCAAAGTATGGTGCTGTCGCATCTGAAATAGTAAATTGTTCGCAATATGGCGTTGACGGTTAGTATACAAATTTTTTATAGCAATTCTAGACTAGATTATTTAAAATTTTGACCATATATGTGTTTTTTTTTTTTTTTAAAGTCTTGAAAGAAGGAGGAAATGCTATTGATGCTGCAATAACTAGCATGATATGTGTTGGTGCTATTAATTCATTTGCTTCTGGAATTGGAGGGTATTTGAATTATTAAAAATTTATATTTGGTAGTCTTTATTTTTTGTCAATGATATTTTTATTAACGTATATTATTTGTAATTAAAGTGGTGGATTCATGGTAATTAAGTTGCCAAATGGACATTCTGAAGTAATCGACTTCCGGGAAACTGCACCACTTGCTGCTAAAAAAGATATGTTTGTTGACAAACAAATCTTTGCTTCTATCGGTGGATTGAGTATCGGTGTCCCGTAATATCCTGTTTATTTAAATGTCCTTGAATTGAATTGTTACAAAAAAATTGATGTAGTTTGATCTTCAAAGTGGTGAAGTCGCAGGAATGAAACTTGCACACAAAAAGTAAGTAGTTTTTTCAAAACCCATTGAATATAAAATGAAATTAAATTATTAAATTATTATTATTATTTAGGTACGGCAGACTACCATGGAAACGCCTTTTTGAGCCTTCAATTAATATGTGCCGTAAGGGGTTTCCCGTGCCTCCAGAACTAGGACTTCGATTACAGGTACTTAAATAAGGTTTTTTTTTATTATTATTATTTTACGTTAAAAACTAATTCTTTTCTTTTTTGCTATTTAAAATAGCGTTATCGTGAAATAATCGTAAATAATCCACAATTATCCGAAATGTATGCACCAAATCGCAAGGTATTAAAGGAAGGTCAAATTCTTTATCGAACTAAATTTGCAGATACTTTGGAAACTATCGCTAACAATCACACTGAATTTTACAAAGTACATATAAACTTCATTTTAAAATTCTTTGAAATACTGTATTTAATATTTCTCTATCTTTCATTAATCTTTTTCTATCTCTTATATGATGTGTATTGTCATTATTATTATTTTTGTTGTATTTACAAAGGGCTCAATTGCAAAATCAATAATAAAAAGAGTCAAGGCTACTGGTGGTATAATGACTCTAGAAGATTTAGAAAATTATCGTCCCATTGTTCGTAAACCTCTAGTTGGGTTTTATCATGGTCGAAAGGTACAAGTAAATTAATAATGGATGCTTTACAATTTTAATGCGGTTAGTTATATTTCTTGTTCACCATGTAAAAAGGTCTTGACAACGCCAGAACCGTCAAGTGGTGCCGTATTAATATTCTTACTGAACCTTTTGGAAAAATATGATTTAAAAAGTAGTAAAATTAACGGTCTTAATTTACATAGGTATTTATTATTATTGTTTATAAATATTTTAAATAAGGGGTATAATATTCTGGGTTAATAAGAATCTCGTTTGCTTTACATTTTAGAATTGTTGAATCATTGAAACGTAAGTACTTTTGACACTTTTTATCGATTTATTTTAAAAAAATTATTGTAGTAACGTTCATGTAATTTTAATATAGTCGGTTTTGCGAGACAGACTGAACTGGGCGATGCGGCATTTGTAAATACGAACTTGATAATTCCATACAAGATTTCGTTATTCACATTTAAATCAATTACTAATACTTTTATTTTTTCAAAATTAAAAATAAAATTAAAAGTTTGAGAATAAAACAAAACATGAATTAAGAATAGCGGAAATTATTTCCAAAGATTACGCAGATTTAGTGCGACGTAACATATCTGATGTATGTATTTTTGTATATGAACCAATTCTGGATTTTGATTGGTTACTCATAGCAGATCATTTATCTTGATCAACAAACAATTGACCATCAAAGTTAGATTGCCATCTTCGGAACTTAATAGATTTTGTTTTCCGAATATAAGTTTAAACATTTTAATAATGTTACTATCTATTTAACTTAATAGAATGAGCCATTCGAACCTGAAGATTATGATCCAGTATTGGAGCCTTTAAATGATTATGGAACATCACATTTGTCTGTCATTGATGCGGATGATATGGCAGTCTCCGTTACCTCTTCGGTAATTCATTTAATCCTAAATTTGGATTGACATATAACATAATGTTTTGAAGTTTTAAATTTTATATTTAATTTGTCAAAAATAGATTAACCAGTTTTGGGGATCACAAGTGGTAGATCCCGATACTGAAATTCTGCTTAATGATCAAATGGATGATTTTTCAGTACCTGGTATACCAGTTAAGTATGGATTGCTATCATCTCCTTACAATTTTATTGGTAATTATTATTATTTTATATAATTATGGTATATTTATAATATTATTAGTATAAAGTATTTGATTTGCTTTTTATTTTATTAAAAAAGCACCTGGAAAAAGACCACTTTCATCAATGATTCCAACAATTATTGAAAAAGACGAAAAATTAGAGCTGGTTGTTGGTGGAAGTGGGGCGAGGAAAATTATTTCATCTGTATTAGAGGTATTCATTTAAAACTGAAAAATCATTTGTCTATGTTTTGTAATAGAGTCATTCGGGGCGGCCATCACTTTTGCAGTGA